TTTGCTCAGAGCTCAGGCCTGACTAAGCACAGAAGAATCCACACTGGAGAGAAACCCTATGAATGTGAAGACTGTGGGAAGACCTTCATTGGGAGCTCTGCCCTCGTCATTCATCAGAGAGTCCACACTGGTGAGAAGCCATACGAGTGTGAAGAATGCGGTAAGGTTTTCAGTCACAGCTCAAACCTCATCAAGCACCAGAGAACTCACACTGGGGAGAAGCCCTATGAGTGTGATGACTGCGGGAAAACCTTCAGCCAGAGCTGCAGCCTCCTTGAACATCACAAAATCCACACTGGGGAGAAGCCATACCTGTGCAACATGTGCGGCAAAGCCTTTAGGAGGAATTCGCATCTCTTGAGGCATCAGAGGATCCATGGTGATAAAAATGTTCAGAATCCAGAGTATGGAGAGGCCTGGGAAAGTCTAGATAGGTTGGAAAGCCAGTGGGAAAATGTTGAGGCTCCTGTGTCTTATAAATGTAATGAGTGTGAGAGAAGTTTCACTCGGAATAGAAGTCTTCTTGAACATCAAAAAATCCACACTGGTGAGAAACCCTATCAGTGTGATGCATGTGGGAAAGGCTTCACCCGAACTTCATACCTTGTTCAGCATCAGAGAAGCCATGTTGGGAAAAGAATTCTATCACAGTGACCCTTGTCATACTTGCTGAAGTTGGTGCTCATTTCTCATTGAACGGAAGCCACCTGGAACGCTTATCAGCTTCAGAACTTGTGGGCTGGGGCTTTATTCACCCACTCATCAGGTGTTAGAAAATGTAATCTGGCTGAGATAAATTATCTTCTACATTTTAAAAGGTGATTGGAAAAAAACATTTGATACGCAGTCATGGGAGAGCTGTCTGAAAGAGGTAGAATCTGAAATAATTTGTTCTCACCGACTGGACTTAAGTGGCCTTCAAGATGGCTCTGATGTGGGGGCTGCTGGTCTGACCATTCATTTTGCCTGTAATGAATCCTTCATGAGTTGGTCAGATTCATGAGGTCTTTTACCCCCCATTGTGCCTTGAAAATAGGTGCTAATAAACATTTACTAAATGTACCAGTGAAATGACCTTCATAGCTCCGAAAATCTGATGTTCTATAGACTTCTGAGGATTTTCTAACTAAGGACATTTTTGTTTGTGTCTAATTATCTGAGTTTCTAGATTTGGGGCCAATCCAATGTATTTCTTCCAAGCACATAATATTGCCAGAGTTGGGGTGGGGGAATCCATGTTTCTTCACCAGGGTAGTACTTACAGTAAGAATGCCTTAATCAGCTTCTTTAACATTAAGACATTGAGAGACTGCCCTATCCATAGAACTCCATTCTTTAGTCAATGTTAATTATGTTAGTTCACATTATTTCTTTGTTCTTTAGGGGAAATCTTCCACATTCAGGTAATTATAAATCAATTCATCAATTCAGGTGAAAATGATTATGAATTTTTATATAAATTCTGTAATGCTCAAAATCTTGTTTCTTACCTTTTATTTATCTTGGGCGTAACCAACCCAAGAGACCATCTGTGTTCCTCTCCCCCAGCTAATGGCTGACTGTACATCAAGCCTTATGCCAGGTCAGCTTAAACTTCCTCCACATCAGAGGATTGGCACCAGATATTTATAATTATTATTCATGGCTTCAAAACTTCCCTGTGGGTTGGGGATAGGAAGATCTGTTAGAGGCAGCTTGAGCTTCTTCCCTCTACCAAGGGAACAGCTGCCCCAGGTAATGCATCTAGAATGCATCCCTGAATGAAAAACTCAGTACAGTAGTTCTGAACTTAAGCTGCAGCTTGGGCACAAGCCCAGTTGAGCCCAAGAAACCCTTGGAGAGACACAGCAACCTACAGACCCATGAATGAGAAATGTTTATTGTTGTAAGCCTTTGAGATTTAGAGTTCATTTGTTACCACACATTTTAGCATCTGGATTTGAAATTTTTTTGACATTCAGCAGTGTGTAAACCTCGGACAGATATCTTCTGTGGTGGTTTAAAAATATACCTGCAAAGTCTTTCACATTTCTTCTTTCAAAATGTGGAGTATAGGGCCAGCCCGGTGGCGCACTGCTACAGTGCGCCGCTTGGGAGCGCGACGGCGCTCCCGCCGAGGGTTCGGATCCCACATACAGACCGGCCGCTCACTGGCTGAGCGAGGTGCGGGAGCAACACCGAGGGTTGCGATCCCGTTGCCGGTCCCGGTCCGGTACGGGCGCGACACTGAGGGTTGCGCGACACTGAGGGTTGCGATCCGTTGCCGGTCATGAAAAAAGACAAAAAGGGGAAAAAAAAAATGTGGAGTATAATGACCCTCCTTTTGAATGTGGATGGACTTTGCCACTGGTTTCTAGCAAAGAAAATGTGGCAAAAGTGATGCTATGCAATCTACAAGGTCAAGTCCTCAGAAGGATAGCTTTTTCCTGGCTCTCTTTCCTGGCTCTCTCTTCTTTAGCTCACTCTTAAGGAAGCCAGCCACCATGCCTTAAGGACACTCTAACAGCCTGTTGAGAGGCCATTTTGGAGAGGAACCGAGGCTTCTTGCCAACAGCTGTGCAACTACATCATCTTGAAAGCAGGCACCATGCCTTAAGGACACTCTAACAGCCTGTTGAGAGGCCATTTTGGAGAGGAACCGAGGCCTCTTGCCAACAGCTGTGCAACTACATCATCTTGAAAGCAGGTTTTCCAGCTGTAGTTAAGCCTTCAAATGATTGCTGCAACTTCATGAGAAATCCCATGCCAGAGTTACTCGGTTAAGACCCATAGAATAGGTAATGAATAATAAATTACTCACTAAATTTTGAGGAAGTTTGGTATGCATCAATAGGTGACTAATACACATCCTCTGAGTCTCAGTTTCTTACCAGTTAAATGCTAATTGATGCACACCCTGCCAAGTTCTAAGGATTAAGATAAATGTGGAACTAATCCACTGAATTGTCTGTACTGTGAAGTACAAATGTGGAATAGTTTTATTTTCCAACTGAAGCCTTCAACCATGCTCTATTCTCCTTTTCTCTGCATGGTACATAGACATGGAATGGCTAGATCAAAGGTTATATGCACTTAAAATTTTTGACAGCTGTTGCCAGAATGCCTTCCATACTGGTTGTAATACAAATAGTGAATATTATTGAGTAGTGAGTATTTACTCTGTGCCAGGCACTGTCTAAGTGCTTTAACTGGATTACAGTTTTTAATGCTCTCAAAAATTTGTGAGGTAGGTATATTATAGCTCATCTTCGTTATTTACAAATGATAAAACTGGAACACAGAAAGGTGAATAACTTGCCAGATTTATACATCCGAAATTCAAAACCATGGAGCCAGTCTCCAAAACCATTGTACTCTACTGCCTCTCAGCTTGTGTTCCTATAACTTTGTACAAGAATGACTGTTTCCCTTACCTTGCCAATGAGTACTGGTCAATGCTTTATTCGTTGCCTATTCAATCAATTGGAGTTTTAATTTGAATTTATCATCTATGAATGAGTTTGAGCATAGCTTTTGTGCCTTTAAATTTTAACAAAATTATTTCTTTTTTGTGAACTGTTTGTGTATGTCCAATGCTTATTTTTTTCATGTGGTTGTTGATCTTTTTCTTACTTAGGATGTGTGTGTGTGTCTATGTTGTAGATTTGTTCCTAATAAAGTACTGCCTTTATTTTATTGATGGTTTCTCTTAAAAAGTTTATTCATTTTTTTTACATTTATTCATGTTCTTTAAATTTCTTTTTTTTAATTAAAAAATGTATCGGTAATACATTTACATAGTCCAAAAATCAATACATGTATTCAGCAAAAACCTTCCTTTTTCCCCCATATTCCCCATTTCCACCCTGATAACCACTGTAAAGTTTTTCTGGTTTACCATTTCAGAATTTTTTTATGCATACACAAATGTGTATTCTTAATTCCCCTCCTTTCTTACACAAAAGGTAGCATTTTTTTTCACTGTTCTGCACCTTGCTTTTTCCTCTTAATGTTTCTTCGAGATTTTTTCACATCAAGATGTAGAGAACTGCCTTTTAGCTCCTTAGTGTGCCATTGTATGGATGTACCTTAAATATTTAACCAGTCCCTACGGATCGACAAATGTTGTTTCCAGTATTTGCTATTGCCAATCACTACTGCAACGAATCATTTTGTATATCCATCATGTTGCACATGTGCAAGTATATCTTTAGGGTAAACTGCCAGTGGAAAGTAGCATTGCCAGGTCAAAGATTAATGCATAATTTTGATAGATATTGCTATATTGCCTTCCAAGGGTATTTTAACCAAGTTATACACCCATCAGCAATGAATAAGATTGCTTGTTTTACAATAGCCTGCACAACAAATACAAATTCATTTGAATATATGCCAATTCGATACATGGAAAATGGCAGCTCAGCATAGTACTATTTGCATTTCTCGTATTGTGAGAATGAGCATCATTACATAAACGTGAGAGTCATTTGTGTTTTTTCTCCTTTGAAATGTTTGTATTCTGTGCCCATTTTATATTTGAGATTTTAGTTTCTTTTTCTTGATTTCTAGAGTCTATTTACTTATAAATTGCAAATGTTTTCCATAGTGTATGTTCTTTTTCACTTTGCTTATGCAATATATATATATATATTTTTTTTGCCATGCATAAGTTTTCTTTTTAATGCGACTAAATGTATGAATCTTTTCTTTCACAGTTTCTGGATTTTCAGTAAAAGGTAAAAAAGATTTTCTCCCCTTCAAGGTTATAAATGTATTTTTTCTTGTCTATTTCTAGCAGTTTATAGTTTCATTCTTTTACATTTAAATTTTTGATAAACGTAGAGTTTATCCTAATATAGAGGTAAGGATCCAACTCTTTCTTAAAGACGATTATCCAGTAGTCCCAACACCACTTATTGAGTGGTCCGTGTTTTTCCTACTGATTTGATATACCAGCTTTATCATTTACTAAATCATATTAGGTATTTGGTCTATTTCTCAATGTTTTAGTCTGTTCTATTACTCAGCCTTTTTCAAACATCAGTGCCACACAGGTTTTGTAATTCAGACATTGTAATGTGTTTTAAAATTTTTTAAACAATTTTATAAAATATACATATAAAAGTATTTATAATCTATATGAGAATTATAAAGAATAATGATAAAATAAGCCTACGTATTAAGAAATAGAACATCACTGAGAGTTTAAAGCCCCTTGTATGCCCCTTTCTAATCTTATTCCCCTCCTTTGTCCCTAGATCTAACCACTGTCCTGATGTTTTAATGTCCTGGAGGGCGAGTCACCCTTTTTAGCTCTTTTTATTCCTGCAGTTTTCTCAGCTACTTTTATTTTTCCGTATGAACTTTAGACTCAGCTTGTGGAGTTCAAAACAAAACAGAAAAACTATTGACACTTTTATTGTGACCACCCATTAAATTTATAAATTTACTTAGGCAGCATCACCATTGGTATGATGTTGATATTCCCATGTAATGTCTTGTCATTTGCTTAAACTATATTGTATGTCTTGGGAACATTTTAAAACTGTCTTTAAGTCTCACTGATTTCTTGTTAAGTTTATTGCTGAGTATTTGATCTTTTAATTGATATAATAATGGGGTCTTTTATTTTTATTACATTTTCTGACTTAATTGATGCTTATATATATGAGAGCTACTGATTTCTGTAATATTTAACTTTTATCCTGTTCCCTCATTGAATTCTTTTACTCTACGTAGTAGTATTTTCACTGATTTTCTTGAGTTTCTATATAGCCTTCAGATAGTGTTACCTCCTCTTTTCCAATTTTTATTCCTTTGATGTCTTTCTCTTGTCTAATTGTGTTGACTAGTACCAGTAGCACAATGTAGAATAACAGTAATAATAATGGGTTGACCATATTTTGCCTTTAACTTTGTTTAGGATATTTTCATATGCAGGAGTCTCAAATTTTATATGCAGAAACATTTACCAGTCTCTTCTTTTATTTGTTCTTGTTTTTTAGTGACACTTAGAAGGACATCTCTACTCCCCTATTATTTTTTCAAATTTTCTTATGTTTTCCTTATGGCTTCATTTGACA